TATTGATACACTACAAACAAACGTTTCACAACAAAGTACCAATATTTTGTCCTGGTGTGGGACTATTTCAGTGAGTAAATTCACATTATGAACCAGAACAGGAACAAAGATTGGGAAACTTGAAAAACTCAAAATCAAACTGGCTAAAGAGATTAATCATGTTACCTATGCTACTTAATTAATGTGTGGGGAAAAAAGAGGTTGGTTAGGTTAGACAGGGTGGTTATGTAAATGTAGAATAATATTTAAGTTACTTGATAATGGAAGGAGCTCCATTACCTCCTGAAACTCAGTTTAGACAAAACACTAAGCGTAGGAAACGTCCAATAAATTAAAATTAAAATCTTTGAAGAAGTCACACGAGGAATCCTAAACATCTTGGCATTATTATGGTGTTGTGTTGTGTGACTTTATAAGCGAGGACGTAAGCCCCTGGCTTCTAATTACCTCAGCTGTGCTAGCTAAACTAAAAGTGTATTCATTATGTGTGGTTTTGTAAACTATGTGAAATTATACATTTGTTATGAGCTCATATGATAATGTGTTTTACCTTTAATCTAACACATTGTTGTCCACCTGATTTCAACTTGTCCTCCACTTCCTCCTTACTGAGGTGTCGACATCTGTTGTCGTATCGTGGAGTCTGTCGTCTGCGTAGAGCGTCTTTCCTCAGCAGTTCCAATCTGTGTTCCGTGCAGAAGCAATGGTAGGCAGCGCCATTTTGTATTAGCTGTTCTACTGCAGTCCTGAAATAAATCTCCTAAAAGTGAGCTTTGATTAAACTAATTTTTGTACCACTTTGGTGTTTTTTTGTAAATTTTTTGGTGCAGTGGTTATTTTAGTCAAAATGCCTAGTCCACACTAGTAGACAGAGCCGACCGACAGTCTGTCAACACAATTTCGTATACAAGTTTCCGATTTGTTTAGCGGTCACACTAGCCCACCATTGTTTAGTATGGAGACTGAAGAGGACGTAATTTTATCATGTTTGAGCTTCATACTTTACTATGTGGCTGATGTACCAAGAAAGAAACAATTGTAGACCCAACAATTTTTTGAGAAAGGTTCGTACTATAGTCAAAAACTACGATTAGCCTTTCGATTAGAAGATGGCGCAGGGTTTAGAAACCGTACAAGAATGACTCTTACAGAAATCTAGGTTGTGTTGGCGTTTGTTGGGCCAAAGATAACAACTCCACACTAAACACCAGTGGGTTTGGGTTGTATCCGATCTTATGTCTCCAGACACGTCAACACATGCGGACTTGAAACAAAAGACATATATATCTTGTCTCTGCGTTTCCAATTCGTTTGGGAAACAGAAAACACATTATCTTGTCTCCAGGAACACGGAGACTTGTCTGCGGACATTCGATTGATTATCTGGATATATTGCTAATGGAGACAGTGGCCGACGATGTTTCTGGAGACAAATTGCCAAGTGTGGACGAGGCTTCAATCCCTTTCCATGCTACTCCCAATACACTGCTATTTTAAAAATAATTTCATAACCTACTTTGAGTATAAAACCGTATTGAAGATTATTCTACAAGATTCAGAAATTTGGTATATTTGGTTCACACTCATAGAGGTCTAAATTTAATTGGTGTTTTAGAGATAAGTAAAAGTAGTTATATGATTTATGAAATAAATAAAATTATTGATATTAAAGCAAAATAATTTTTTTACAGTTCTTTAAAGATTGAATGTTCAGTATTTAAGTTATAATTTCATTAGTCTACTGTGTATTTCAATATTCTACCAAATAAAATCTATAAGTAGGGCCTAAAAAAATTATAATGTTATTTAGATTTATTTTGAAAATGTATTTTATATAGAAAAAAATAAATCAACAATATAGAATGTTCACTTAATTTCAAACATCACACAGCCTTGTTATCAACATTATATTATCTCATACTAATTTTATTGTATTGTTCTGATAAGCATTTGCACCACACAGAACTGATTCATTTGGTTGTCTAATTAATCATACTTACTCATAAATCTGTCAACATTCATTACAGTTAACATGTAAAAGACTAAGACACTCAATACTGCTTGAATATAACCATCTACCAACATCAAGAGTCTACAAAACAATAGAGTAAAATTCAACAATTTAAACCGCAATGTAATTAGCTCACTCACACACATGTACAGATGTAAAATAAACTACAACTTACTTGTAAAGATCCAGTCGCTTGGACTGCTGGTAAGGTCCGAACTTTCCCCCTTTTAAAGGACTTTCATCTGGTATAATCCCAGCCCATTCCAGGTCCTCCTGTAACAAATAACAAATAAGATCAGTAGAGTAAAAGAGTCGTTTTGAATTTTTTTTCTTATTCCTCTATGTTCTGGCACGGAATTGTTTTTCAAATTACTTCAGGCTAGTTCTAGAGGGGGTCGCAGGGCCCATTAGTAATTGGGATTGTCAAAGGAATTTGTACAACATAGACTCATACCCAAGTTACCTCTGATTATTTAGACAATGAACATTGAAATTTTATGTTCTGCTCCACTGACAATGTCAATGCATGTAAATGTCCATGATAATAAATGATTTGATTTGATTTGATTGATTTGATTTGATTTTGTCAGGAGTGTTGAGCTCTACCACTTAAAAGAGTGACTAGAGCAATTGGCAAAGTTCAAATCAGTTGACTAGGTTAGAGGGAATTAGTTTAGTTTTGATCAAGACCATAAAACGTACCATACATTCTTTTTACAACATCTACATTATTTTTTAACAATGTGCTAGATTCAAAAATCCTATAACCTCTAGGAGATTTTAAAAGTAGGCTATTACCAATATTAACATAGAGTTTTACTGATATAAAATATTGTAAAGGGGTAGTTTTGTAGGCGTAAATGTGATATGAAGCATATTGGGTATACAGTTGAAGTTTACAGTTCATATAAGTTAAAGAAAACAGTGTAGGCCTACTCAGGCAGTACATTCAGACACAAAAATATGTCTTAACTTTCTTTAGCAAGACCAAACAATCTACAACATACATGGGGGGAAGAGTAAGCAGATTAAAGTTAACATATGTTTACAATGATTTTTTACCAAGCTAGATGAGTTAAAAGTGCCCGCCTAGTAATGAAAAGATTGCTGGTCTGATCCTGAGAAACGTCAGTAAACATTTACATGGTTCTAAACTGGTCCCAGCTATTCTTGATCAGTGAATGGTCCAGGTTAAAGAAGCTGATCTTAGTCAGTAACAAAGCTTTTATCTCATACATTCAACACTTATTTATCACTCAATCTCCGCTTTAACATATGCACTCTGGTATGTCGGCATCCGAAGACTAATGCAATCTATACTTAAAACTGGACTTAACAAACACTTATAGGCCTACCTTTTATTCTGGTCAAACTTTATGTTTCAACAATTTCTTGTAGAAAAAAATCTTTTGCTTTAAAACTAATTCTATGGCATCATACTAACTTGCAATTGTTCCATTGCTCCCTCCACAAGCCGGGTCTGATCTGTGTCCTCTATCCTCAAGATAAATGTTCCCCCTTTTGACTTGGCGAACAAAAAGTTGTAAAGTGCCGTCCTGAGGCCCCCGAGATGCAAAAAACCTGAAAAGGAACCAAAGCTTTCAAATATATCCATCTATAGGCCTAATTAATAAGGAAATCGAAGCTGTAAAGACATGTTTCCTAGGTTGGCAACCAGTTTTAACATTTCATCTACCCATCTTCATGAGCCTTTAGCAAGTGGAATGTATCAGGCAAAGCAAGGGGTGAGTCAAGAGTCAAGAGATTTATTGGTCTAAGAACACAAATATTACAGTGCATACGACCTTGTCAAGTAAAATTATTACCAATATTAATTAAGTCAGTACTTACAGAACGAGAATGAATTGTACAGCAAACTTTTAGTGATGACCTATGACTATGAGCCTTTGACTCATAACTTATAAGTTAGTCTATTGTACTACCATCTGCGCCTTAACCTTAATTACTGGTATTCAATCAAATCGCTCATAACTACTTAAACAAATTTAAAAAAACATTTTTTCCATGCTATTGCTGTGATCAAAGAGGTTCATTTGATTTGATTTGACCTTTAAGTTACAACAACCGCTGTTCACCATTACAGTACTTGACAAAGATAGACCTGTTGGAAGTTGTAGGGATAGGCCTACTTATAAATTTTTAAGGAAAATAACTTAGTTACCGGTAAGTTAGCCTACATAATATCATTCACTAAGTAGCTCTAAAAGAATCCAACAAACTACTAATAATAAACACTTAGGCTAAGTATGGTTACTTACTAAGTAAGTAAGTAAGTAAGTAAGTATCAAGTAACTAATAAGAAAGCTATTTACCTGTAGGGCTTGGAGCAAAACGGACGCGAACTTCATTTTCAGTATGAGCCAGCCGAACACATGTAGGTAAACCCATGAATGTGAAAATCAAACTTCTTTTGAATAATGTTTGATATATTTGTTGACTTCCAAGCATAATATTTTACTGGACCAAATCACAAGCTAATTCAAATTGTCATGATGCAATAATCTATTAGGCTAGGTAACTTAACTAATGTTTTAGAGAAGTTCCGGTTTAAATAAATTAACCAAATTATGTTAGCGTAATAAATATAGAAAATAAAAATAAAACAAGGTCTTAAATTATATTTAGGCTAACTTATACAAAACTTTCACACAATAAACTTATCTTAGTTTGAAAATAGAAAACCACAACCTAACACTCTAGAACCACAAAAAACAATTTAAAATTAAATCCACTGATGAGACAGGCCTGGTAAAATTCAAAAACGTTAGTAAGTTATGGAATTAGTGTTAACAATAAAAATGCAATAAGAATGAATAACCTGAACTTCTATGTTCAATAATTTTCCTAAAAGTCAAAACAAAACATATCAGCAGCAGAAGAATGTTTCTGTCTTCTAATTCAGGTTTCAGCTGATTTTTTGGTGGCTGTTTAGCAGGTTGTCACGTCCAGCTGATTCCTCAGTCAGATTCAGATTTCACTTTGCTATTTTGCTGGCGAGTGGTGGCCATGCGCGCTGCGTCCACAACACTTCTGTTATAGGCAAATTTATGTTGAATTTGTTGTGAGCATTTTGGTCTTTTGACCTTAAAAGCCTGGAAATGGTTTGTATTATATTCTTTTAAACTCCGATGTTACATTTTCTTTGTTGTTCCTATCGTTAGAAACAATTTAGCTTTCCATACCTTTGTGTTATGTTCTAGTATTACATTTCTAGCCTCACTTCCTACTTGGCTTCAAATTTATTTACCTTGTTTCAGCATAAATTGAAACTATCACAGCGAGATAAAGTTAAAAAATTCATAGCGTTTACTCAAACTGGAGAACAAACTGCAATATATTGCCTTTCTCAAAATGAATGGAAACTGGAGCTGGCTTCAGACAACTATTTTCAAAATCCAGATGTGTACTACAAAGAGCCAAAGGTTACAGTTGACAGGAAAAAACTGGAACTCTTGTTTTCTAAATATAAAGGTCAGTAATAAGCCATGGACAGTAGAATAAGTTTGTTCTTTACACATAAGCTTAACCTAACCTAGCCTATAATTCGCTCAAGTCAATGCTCTACATTTGACCACTAGGTTATGAGCAATCTGTTATTTGATTTAGTCTGTTAGACTGCACTTTACTTTACGTCCTACACTCATTCAAATGAAACAACCGAATGTAAATATAAATTTATCAATTGTTTCATTCGATATATCGTTTGGTTAGTTAGGTGAGGTTAACCTTACCTGACTAACGAAATGATATATCGAATAATCGATTGGCTATTTTAAATAATCGATATATCGATCGATATTTTCAGTCTAATTAGTGTAGGACGTAAAGTTAAGTGCAGCCGTCTGTTATGGATGATCAATATCGATCGATATATCGATTGTTCAGTTAGGTAAGGTTAACCTAACCTAACTAACCAAACGATATATCGAATGAAACAATCGAGTAATCGATATTTTCATTCGGTTTGTGTTGGACCTAAAGTAAAGTGCAGCCAAACAATTCACTGAGTAAACTTGCGTAGGCCATGGCGATGTTGCTTTGCAACCTAGCCTAATCTTGTACTCCCCTAATCGAACTTCCGAGATGCTGATAGTAGTGATGTGGGTCGGGTAAATACCCAGTGGGTAGGTAAATATAAATTGGGTATTTACCCGGGAATTTACCCCAGGCCCGGGTAAATACCCAAAAACTGGGTATTTATAATTTTTATTAAAGTTAGAGAAGATTGAGATGTTTTTTTGCAGTTATCACCCTGTAAGGATAGTAAAATGATGATAAAATGTGTAAAACAAAATTTCATATAGTCCCTACAAGCATTTTACTTCTGGGTACAATCGCCATAAATACCCAGGTCTGAGCATAAAGCATAATCGGCATAAATACTTTGGTCGCATGGTTGCACAAGTCCTGCCTACTTATGATTTTTTAATTTCTATGATAGATAGATGAATCTTATATTATTGAAAGTGAAGAAAAATAATTTGCAAAGTAATAATTATTATTTATACATGAAAATTTAACCTAGTAGTGGCCTAGGCGTGTAAATAACTTAAGAAAATAATTAAAATTCAATCTGTAGGATGGCAGAATTTAATAATATTTTTGTTCTAGATCTTTTGTTGGTATTAATGGTATCAAAATAAAAAAAAACTAATTTCATAAACTTGTGATACAAAATATTTAAATCTACAGCAATATAAATCTTTCAAAATTATATTAAGGTAGACCAAAAAACAGGAGATTCATTTTTTTAGTAGGTTTATCCAAATATATTATTGTTTCCAACTATGCGGTAACACAGAAAAGTTTAATTACTTTTAGTATTCTGCCATTCTGCCTTAAATATTAGGTCTGTCTAGCCTTCCAAGCCATTTATACGATACAAATTTTTAACTATCATAATTTAATAACAGTAGAAGTAGGTTTAGGTTCACTATTTCTCTGATGAGGTGTTGTCTTAATAAAAAAACGAAACCCCATTCTTATTTAAAAACTTTATGTTTTATTTTTAAAAAAGTGCTAAATCATTAAATGAAAGGTACTAGCAAAGCTTCAAGTTACTGTAAAAGGTGTTATAGACTATCCTAAACTTTCATGTAATGATAACAATAACATATTTAGGGGTGAATATAAATGAATTTCAATCGATTTCATAAATACCCAAAATACCCGGGTATTTATGGATTTTGGGTATTTACCCGGGTAAATACCCAGGGTATTTACCCTGAGTTTTAAATACCCGGGTATTTTACATCACTAGCTGATAGGTACTTTAAGAGTGATTTGTGACTTAAGTTAGTTATAGCCTCCAAAAAAGTTAAAATTATCTTTGTCAATGCAGTAACTTAGACTTGTCTTAAAAGTCATGTAATAAGAATTCAATTGAGTTTTATAGGTTAGGTTTAGCCCTAAGCTGGTTGCTTCATAGGCATAATTACCATCCTCTTGACCGTTGACCATTTCTGGATAGGTCGCGTTAGGCATAGGCCTAAACCTCGGTATGTCATCATAACCTAGCTTCTACACAAAGATTTCAGCGTTTATATTATGCTTACAAACAGTCTTTAGTTACCAAACTATTATAATTATCTTTAATTAGTGTTTTATGGTAAGCCTAACTTAGTTGTGGACCCCTTACAAAAACTCTTATGTTAGGCATACCAAAACGCAGAGGATACGCGTCCGGTAACCTGACGTGGATTAGGCGTCCGGCAGTTACTGTCATAACCTAACCTAACCAACCAAACTTGCTGATAGTGAAAAAAAATCAAATGAAGGTTCAATTCTCTTCATAACATAAAATTATAAATGCCAAAAATTCTAACAAAAGATGTACAGTTAAGAAGAAATTACATTCAAAGCAAAATCTGTGCCAAAAAGTTAATGTTACCGATGGGTTTCGAACTGGGGACCTCTCGCATGTCAGTCGAGCACTCTATCCACTACACCACGAACACTGATGGCTGAACATCGTATCATTGTGGTAATGGCGTTCCGGGACCCCTTACCGGACGCCTAATCCACGTCTGGTTACCGGACGCGTATCCTCTGTGTACCAAAACTTAAGTAACTTAGTACATACCCTAATAAATTTAGTAGTAGGAAATCATAGGCCGACAAACTCTTGAAATTACCCTTAAGTCAACTAGGTTTAAGTTAACTTAATAAACATGTCTTAAAACAAAACAAACAAAACACTTTGAGTATAAGTGTGTTTTTATTTTTTTATATAATAAAGGCCTGATGGTGGCATTTTTACTTGAGGAATCAAAAGAGGAAGTAATTAATTAAACACTTTCAGGGAAAGCCGTCCAAATTCATGTGATGTGGATGTGCAGGGAATCGAACCCATCCCTCCCCTCCCCTACCGAAGTCTGAAACGTTAACCTTTAAGCTAGCAATTTAAATTGCATTACAATAAGCTTTACCTCTTTTAGATAGGAAAATACAGTTTTCGGTTGCCTTAAGTTACTTGGTCTGTTATCAGCTGTAACTTCTTTTGCTTGGCAGCTCGGATAAATGTTTAATCTCCGTACTGGCGCACATACATTCTTATGATTCCACAAGATGGACCAGAACCACTGGCAAAAATATGTGTTTTTTCACACAAAATGTTTGTTGTTTTCTGCTTAACGATTATATCATGTAAGAAATATTAAACCTAAAATAGCCTAGTTCCGAGCTTGTGGGGAAAGCCCCAATGCAAGCGCAGAGACAAATGACTTTTAAATGGTTTCGCACAGTTAACATCGAAAATGCAGCCAGTACGACTTGCCAAACTAGGGCAAAGGTTTAGGCTATCAAAATATCTGTAATGGGCTGCCGTTTAATCAGTTATGGTGTATAGATTCATACTTTAACCCTCGGGCGGTCGCACCTATTGATCAGTGATGTACGGTACCGGTTAACTGGTTTTGTCGGGTAAACACTTGCCTCTCCCAAGGTCATTGTATCACTTGACTGTGCGACCCTGCCAGTTTTACAAGCTTTTTAAAAATAGGAATTTCAATATTTTTAAGATTGAAATTAAACTATTTAGTATTTTTAAGACTATTTTCATACATGTAGGCTACTGCTGTTTAGTTACAATGAATTGTTCAAATGTAGGCTATCAATGGTTTTTTATTATTTTACAAACTTTGTATTGTTTTGATACGTTGCGACCTTTCCCGTTATTGGTAAAACACATGATGCAAGATTGTCTATATACATTTATTTTAAAAAAGGTTCATTATTGATTAGGAAGCTATTAAATGGTATCCATATACACTCAAAAGTATTCGGTTCTCAGGTATTTACTGTTGCTTACTAGCCTTTTATTTCATTTAACACAAAAAAATCAATCTGATACAGTGCGACTAGTACCGACGTAAATTTTTAGGTACGACCACCGGAGGGTTAAGTACTAATGGAAATATGCCTTCAATTTTGTAGACACAAAATATTATGTTGTATGGAAATATAATGTTCCATACAATAATTGAAAAAAAAAATTGAATAAAATAATGGAGCCATTCTGGTTACTGTTATTGTTTTTGAATAATCTGCCGTACCTACCTATTAAAAATAGTTAGTTTTTAATAACTTTCCATTTTGTTGATAAACAAATAGTTATTTAAGTAATAAAACAATTTAAACCCCTTTAGATCCGGCAGAGCCAGACAAGATGACTGCGGAAGGTATTATGAAGTTTCTTGATGATTTAAATCTCAGTCCGGAATCCAAATTAGTGCTAATAATAGCATGGAAGTTTCGAGCTGCTGCTCAATGTGAGTTTTCACGAGAAGAGTTCATGACAGGAATGACAGAGCTATGGTAAGTTACCTTTATGATTAAAAAAATCAAAATGCTACAACGGTTTATGTGTGTTATAGGTTAGGCCTATACTGGTAAGAAGAAAAGCTAATATTTTCAGTGTCTTGATGGCACCCCTCAGTGAAATTGAATTTGTCTCTTTCACACTGAATACCAATGCGCTAACTTAACCACTAAAGTCGGGACCACGAAGGTTTGCAGTGGAGGGAGGAGCCTATTTACCACGTGACTTCGAAGGAGCCAATGAGGACAGTGCGGTGTTGCCAAATCTAATAATACCAGCTGATTTGAAAATATTGTTTAGTATTTTAATTAGTGTCGTCAACGGGCGATATGGCAACGTCGCACTAGCCTTCTCTTGTGATTGGCTGCCGCCAACTACAAACTTTCGTGGTCCCGACTGTAAGTTAGGCTAGCAACACACCCAACTACTCCAATTGTTTTTTCTGTAGGGCTAATGTTTTTTTTCTAAATTTAAAATGGCGTTGCTGTAGTTTTTTCCCCCCAGCTGTAAATTAGCGAGGCCTAATTGCTTCTCTAACCCTTTTTTTTTTGCTCCTTTGACTATCCGTCCTTTACTGTGTTCAGACTCACTTGATGCACATGAGGAAGTATACATTTTTCATGGATTCAGATGCATTCCCAGACTGTATAAGTTCTTACATTAAATCTGTAAATAATGGTCAGTAAGTTTCAATTCCACATTACACAGCTCACTGCTTTTTTTTTACAGTTTTGAGCAGAAGTTAAATGTTTCACTATTTAGAGTGTTTTTTCATTGTTCTATAGCTCATGTTCTAAAAATTACCTCTGTTCTACAGTTGTGACAGTGTAGAGAAGCTGAAGTGTCGATTGCCCTCCCTGGAAAACGAGCTCAAAGACCAGAACAAGTTTAAGGACTTTTACCACTTTACGTTTAACTACGCCAAGAACCCAAATCAGAAGGGTTTAGACCTCGACATGGCCATTACCTACTGGAATATTGTACTTAGAGGCAAATTCCGTTTTTTGGATCTCTGGTGCCAGTTTCTTCAGGTAGGCCTAGGTTATTTTTTAATAGAGGTTTGCAGCCTCTTTTAACTTTGCAAAATCCCGTCCACATGGGCCACTAGTCTGTGTGGAACATATAAAGCACAGTAAGAAGTGAGACTGTACCGTATGGAATGAAATGAAATGATAAATAATAGTGGCAGCATCGGGACATACAAGTCCAACACTGCCCCCCTCGTCATCATGATTTCAAGATTTTTATTTGTCGTCAGGCATATACAATGATGCATTTGACATTGTCAGATATCATCTAAACAACGCTCATGGTGGAGGGGACCTGTACAATAGGAATTAGTTCTTGCGGTTTGTACTTTCCTTGCTCGTCATAAGTATATTTTCGGCATAACATACTAGAGCTGAAAGCGCACAGTCGTCCCACAAGTGTGTTTATTCTTTACCTTAATTCTCTATGGTAATACTAATCAAGTTAAACAAGGCATCTTACTCACACCTTACTACATTACAGATTGAAATTGAAATTGGTTGTTTAACCCTTCCCCAGCGTTGGACGATACGTCAACGACTATTAATTTGTGAGTGTTGGACTGATATAGGCCTATATGCAACACAATCTGAAGGTCACAAGCGTACGACGCATATATACAAACATGTTAACGTCATTTATGTATTTTAAATTTGTTTCTTTGCTGCCAACAGTTACCTTCGGCCATTAATCAATAATCAATAGGCCTATAATTGTTGCAATAGCTAACTGTTTTGATTTTTTGTGGTAAATTTCTAATTGATGGGTTGGCATCACTGATCTCGTAACATCTGTCTGTCTACAAAACCGGCCGCTGAGTCATCCTCATGTTATTGTTTTGCGCAGACTGTTTACATGTTTTGAGGAAGTAAATCTAGTAAGATAAGATTAGTGGATTATTCAGTGCTTTGGAATGTGTTGTGTTGTTTATTGAAAATGACGTTTAGATTGAATGATCCAAATCAATATTTTTATTGTATTATGATTAGATAAGTCTGTTTTGTCTTTTGGTAATAATAAACAATTACCAAGTAGGCCTACAACACATTCCTGGTAAGTACCAACAATTACCAGGTATTGTTCATAATTATCATGGTAAACAAAGTAAAAGGTTTGATATGTTTCATAATTTGATTAGTTTTACTCAGTTATGGAAGTTCTAAAAGAATATTTCAACATAATCATCCTACCTTTAATGTTTGAGCTTCATAAAATAATCAGTACCTACTACCATAGTCAAAGCCTGAACTAAACTTGGTACATATTGTTGCAGGAACATCACAAAAGATCAATACCAAAAGACACCTGGAACCTGTTGTTGGACTTTGCCATGGTCATCAACGACGACATGTCCAATTACGACGAGGAGGGCGCGTGGCCGGTGCTGATAGATGACTTTGTCGAGTGGGCGCAGCCGCAGGTCAGCCGCAACGAACCTCACAGCACGCAAGTCTAGTGCGACGAACAGACTCACCAAGTGATGTGTACATAAGCGCCTAGGTTAAAAGCTGTCGTTTTTTCATCGCCCTTTGTGTGTACTAGTGTCACTAAACACTTTTTTTAACAAATTTATTTGTACATCTTTTGTTGTATAACTCGGCTGTTTTGTTAAATCGAGTGTTACATGCAAAGGTTGTTGGACAGTTATTTATTTCGTTGAGGACGGTCGCGTCTTCAGTGATCATTCCTAAGTAAATATACATTTATAGATTGCATTTTTATTAAAATATTAAAACCTTGTTTTATTTAGTTGTGATTTTTATCCTTCAAAAGTGAATTGATTGAGGAAATTGTAGGGTTGTATAGTGTTTTCACCTTGATTTATCTTAATCCAGACAATTTTTTTCTACTCCATTTATATTAGAAGAATTTATTTGATCTTTTGAAGTAAGAATTTGAAAATTGAAGTTTGTTGATGATCGTTTTATGTAAATAGAGAACTGTGGCATCAAAACTATGTGGTTTATGACGTTTTTTAAATAACACTTTCTTCAATGTTTGTTTTGTAAATTAAAATCACTAGTGTTTCTAGAATGCTAGAGAACACCTCAAGTTTTCGGCCAAATTATTTAGTATCACAACCAACTGTAGATACATTATCTACCCAATTGTAGATAGATTTCCTTCATGTAGGATCATTGGACCAGTCACATTCTGCACTTCTTGTTGCTACTTCAAAATTTATAATACCTGAGACCAAGCGACAGAGAGTTGGGGTCAGGCATTTTCCAGTAAGTAAATTGGCAATGTTTACGAACTATTTAACCTGTGAAGTTTTTCTGAATCAAAGATGGTTTTCTAGTGAACCTACATTGCTATAATGGTGTGTAACTTCAAAGGGACATTTTTTGTGGAATTAATGTCACAGCTACTCATGGTTTCTCAAACAATTATTTTGGTTGCCTTTGAAGGTTTATATCTTTTCAATTATCTCTATTATTCCTGTCCTCGGCTATGCCTCGTACGTGAAATTTGGTTTTCCTGTATTAGGTTTTGCCTCATACATGAAACTTGAGCGTGCACGCTGGAAAATGCCACTTTCGGTCCTAGTAATGAAATATACTATTTTAGTTAGCATTCGTAGGTGTGCTAGAACATAAATTTAAAATGACACATCAATCGTAAAAATCAGTTAAGTTAGGTGGAAAAGTGATGTAACAGGGAAAACCCCATGTAGATAGGTAACAGAAGTAAATAAATATTTCTTCTCTCTTTCCCAACTTATTTGTTGGATTTATAAAACATATTAAATCTTGCCTTCTTTCTCATTACTGTTCAAACGATTAATTAAACATGACTGCACTTCAAAAACACTGCTTACAAATCCTAGTCTGAAAGGTCTATGTAAGAAAATAATTTTTATTTACACTTTGCTTCTATAATTACCTGCTTTGAATCCAAATTTTGACAGGAGGTAAATCTGGAGAAAGAGGTAAATCAATCAATAGACGTGAGATGTTCAAGGGATATTTTATTTGTATCGTCTTTTATAACAAGAAATTTAGTTTGATTACGATTATTGAAGAGTTAACAAGTTAAACTCAATTCAAAATTCGTTATCGGTTTATGTGCGGAAGTTGTTTTCAACAAAATTATGTAATATCACAAAAGGTTATTACAAACCACAATTAATTGACATATTCGTTGTACGGAAACTTAAATTAAAAAAAGCTTACTACAAACCTCAAATGTTTGTTTTGACTTTGTTAGGATTTTTAAGATAGTATGTAATTGAAACTTTTCTCCTGACTCTACCGGCTTGTCTAGTTGACTGGCTTAACTAGTCTGTCCTTAGTAAGCTCAGTTAAGGTAATTCCTAAAACTCCTTAAATCCAGTTAAAGGAAAAGGAATCAAAGTCGATGAAGAAGACACATGTTCATATACTGTTTGCTTATTTTGGCCCAAAAAATCACTTCCTAAATTATGTTCCCACCTTTTTTGAACACCCTGTATATGCTGTGTAATATATCACAGCCTGAGATGTAAATACACCCAATTGAGTGATTTTCAATTCTTGACACATTACCAGATTATTCCATTTAATAAATTAATTAAATTCTATGTTTTAAATTATAGATAAATTAAGATGTAAGATTCCAGTAACACAAAAAAATCCATCATTTAAATGGTTTGACAGATCTGTTGGTTATAGCACCGGCATGTTGTCTAGGGGTCATGGGTTCCAATCCAGCCAATCCTGCATAATAACAAGTTATAGGACCACCAGTAAAGTAAAAATTGTCTATGTGTCGCATCCCCCTACATAAAAACTATAATATTTTAATCATACCTAACTTGGATGTTGACGCCAAAATTACGATTTGTTCCATCACACAAAATTTCAAGATTTAGTTGTTATTGTATTTGCTGTGCAACATTATCCCGATTCTTAAGACTACATTATATTACCATTTATTATCTTAATAAAAATGAACAGATTGTAAATAAAATTTTGATAAAAAAAATTTGAGATCTTTGTCATTAAGTAATACAAATTACAATTTGTACCTTTAAGAAATTTTCTTCGAGGAAACTAATAACTGGGAGGTTTATAATATCAATTTGGTTTGTGCAAGTAAACTAAATTCCAAACACTCATGACCGAAAACAAACGATGAATTGAGTTACTTTTAAATACGAGTTTGTATATAGAATAAGAAAATATCACAGATATTATAACAAATAAAATAATACAATCATAAAATACAAGAAAAGCACCATAAATTTAAACAGGCTGTTGAAGAAGACACCAAAATGATTCGCTGTAGATTCTCCAAATAGGATTATAATCAAATGAAAGTACCATACCTCTTATTACAAAGCTTTCAAAATAAAACAACTCGGTATAAATTAAATTGCTTGAAAACCTTGCCAAATAGAGTATGAAATCATGGATAGGAATTCAATGAATGTTATTCATTATCACTTTCTTTGGGTGAATAAATTCAAGAAGTCATTTATATTGTATTATTCAAAAATAAAAATAAAACTTAAATATCTTAAAAGTTGTTATGGGAGCATAAAGGACTACACACTCAAAATAAATAACATCAGGCCATGCTGCAAGGGGTAGAAAATTTGATGGTTAAATACAAATGTGCCAGATTTGATCGTTTGCCATTCTCCTATTATTTTTTAGATCCCAAAAACTAAAATCAAATATACAATTCCCTCTATCTTAATGAACACTCAATACGTAATTACATTACTGTTTTATTCAAATCAAATATGTTTAAGAAATCTATTCACACATTTTGTAATGTCTTCTCCAAAAGCAAACATGATTAGCCTACAGTTAAGAAAATACAGTATAATGAATCAGGTAAAACTGAAATAGTTCTTGTGCATTTTAAAAATCACCGAAACACACAACGATATTGCAGTGAAATAATTTACTCTACGATTAATATTAATATCTGTAATGAATATCAAATAGTTGTGATGCATATGAATTACTGTTGAAACAAAATACAGACAGAATAAACAAGAATACCAGCAGGTACCAGATGCTGCTGTTTTAATTGAAAACTACTTTGGAAGATTTAGTCAAATTCAAACAAAATATAGTTCCGGTTACAATGGGACGACCTACGAACATCTAACAGGAACAAATGACATTTTGAAAACGCAAGTCAAACAATTCTTTGATGGTCCCATTTATGAGAACATGTTTCAGAATTCAAAGTGTAGTTTAGTAAAATTACATTATAAAATTTATTCTTACATGGATTACATAATGATAAATTTAAAGACAAATGAAAAAATCCAAGTGGAAGCATTAGCTTGATAAATATCTAAATAAAAAGTGTACTTTCATCTGGTACGGTAATGTGAATTGCAATAGTTTTGTTAGAGAGTTAAAGCACAAACATGAATGATTTTGTTAAGTTTGATCAATTAAGTCCTTTCTAGATACCATCGAATCCGAATCCAACCATTCAGTTCATAAATGTGGTACTGTATCCTCAGATTTCTTGCAAATGTGAAAGTGTCCTGTCCTAAACTAAAAGGGGACGGGACATACATTTGCAAGAAATCTGAGAATACAGTAACAAATATATCAATACCCAAACCCCCTAAAAAATCAACCCCAGCCCAATAATTGTCTCAAGAAGTTTAAAGCCCATTCAGTTGTTTAGGATAACTGATTGACAGCATTATTTTAATACTTTATTTGTTAAGTTTGAGGTAGTGCGTTTTTTTTCAATTACTAGTATTTTATATTTTAGTAACACTAAATATGACACATATTCATTTTCAAAGTTCATACTATTATAAATATGGCCTGTCTTCATCATACAAAAATTACAGGATCAAATTAGCGAACATTTTTAACAATGATAGCAACTGTATGGATCAAAAATCAAAGCAACTCAATAAAAACACAAAGATAGCTTATTAATTGACCCATTAATGTAAGGCAACAAAAAGAAATCCCGCCATACATTAAATGTGCTCTATTTACAATTTTGAATTTTATATGGTTAATTTATTCTATGCAGCTAAGTCAAAGTAAGTCAGAGATTAGTATGAGCTTCTATAGTCAATGTTAGGGCAATGTTCACACTGGTAAAAATAAATCAAGGTCAACTTTGGTCACATTCGTATGAAAAAAAAATATGCTAAGAAACATATCTGCACCACTACGATGATTCTTTAGGTTAAACTGAATGATTCCCATCATACCTTACCAGATGAAAGTGAACTCGGTTGTTAAATAACAGATTAATGCTAAATAATGTTGCACTGACAGAAACATTAGGTAATAAGAATTGATAACAGCGCCTTAGGCAGAACAAGATTGTCATTACCCACACGCTAATGTAATACTAACAAGAATACTCGGTAATAAGCGTAACCAGCCAACAACAATGTGACAACATATCATATACTCGGTTACACTGACTCGGTTTTGTGTATATGACTCGGTTACATATACTCGGTTTTCGGATGGTTTGTATAGTAAAACCATAGATAAAACATACTCCCTTAGTGGATTTCTCACCCTTATGGAACAGCTGAAGCCAATTTTATTGTTAGTTCTGTCCAGTTCACTGTAGAGGCCATGTTTTGTTTACAATTCGTTTCTTGTTATTTCGGTAATTTAAAACCGCATTTAACCAAATAAAACAATCTAATCACCAACAATAACTTGTCCAGTTATGTAACCAAACAGTAAAGCAAAAACCATTACTCTAAAATAATAGAAACAAAATTTTGTTGACACTAGCGCCCAGTGTCACC